TCTGGAGTGAAGTTCGATCAATATTATATGAGTCTTCATTCTTCAGATATACAATTATATTAACCAGGTAGTCCTTTTATCCTACATGGCAACTCGCACGATTTTTAGAGGTACAATCGATAAAGTTATCGATATACCCCCTTTTTATTTTTATTTTTATTCTTTTGTCTATCCCTGCATATTTCTCGTTTTCTGTTCATATTTTAGAGACTCAAATATAAAACTTTTCTGGGATTTGGGATGGGGGGTGTTATATATCTGAAGAATGAAGACTCATATAATATTGATCGAACTTCACTCCAGAAGTTCGTTTGATCATATATTATATTTCGTTCTTCATTCTTCAGATATACAATTATATTAACCAGGTAGATGTTCAGAGATGAATCCTCGAAATAATTAGAAAAGTTTTATTTTTATATTAATAATAATAACAAAGGCGATTATCATTTTTGAAAGAAAATAAATATAATTTGAGAGTTATCATTAAATTATTGGTAATCACATCCTGATCTAATAAATTAAATATATAAATTGACCTTATTAATCTTATGGTTGAAAAGCAACTGTTTTTGCAAAAAGACCCTCGTCTACAATAGGTCTATTGTAAAATCTGGCGAATGTTTGAGAGGAATTAGTCCAGCCGGCTGTCTTCCTTATTACATCCAGTGAGATGCCTGCGTAGTTCGCTGTTGAAGTAGATGCATGTCGTGTGCTGTGCGCACTAAACAGTCTAACGTCCACACCACACTCTAATAATGTTTGTTTAATCCATCTACTTATGGTTTGACTTGAAGCTTTTCCATGAGGCTTTTTGTATGTGAGTAAAAGATTTTCTATTGTGTTTGATCTTAAATCCGAGGTAATATCTAGATAGTCCTCTAATGCTGTTGCAGGACAAATGTTTGGATTCTCCAAGAAATAGGGGAGAAACAAGATGGGTGGTTCTCTTCCGGCTGCAGATGTTTTAATAATGTCTGTAATTACTATTTTAAATCCTTCTGGACTCTTATTAATATTATCAACTTTGATCAGTGAAATTGTTTGTACCCTATGTGCTGTACAGAGAGCAAGTAAGGTTACTAATTTTTTTGACAGTTTCTCCAATGTAATATTTTTATTTGGAAACCAGTTAGAGATATGGCTAAAAACTACTTGGGGGTTCCATGTATTGATATATTTTGGTAACGGGGGTTTTTGTTTGTAAATACCTTTTAATAAACGTTTTATTTGATCGTCTGAACTTATATTATTCTCTAATAACAAAGACAGAGCGGATCTATGTGAATTTACCGATCCGTAGGAAGCTCCCTCTGTATATTGTTCTGCTAAAAAGATTAACACGTCCTTGTTTGAAGGGTTAAGCGTTTCAATGTTTTTTGCTGCGCAGAATTGCCACCATATTTTATATGTGACGCTATATTGTTTTAGAGTATTTTCCGCAATCGAAGAAACCATAATGTCTAGTGCGACCGACGGTGTGTTTCTTTTGATAAAGGCGAGCCGCAGAGCTTCGCGGCCCCCAGGGTAAGGCTGCGATGTAGAGGGTGCAGCTGTCTGAAACGTGATAGTAAAAGCTTCTTACTAGGTTTAAATGTAATGATTTCTGATGCTAATAGGTCTTGTAGAAGTGGAAACCAGGCTTGTCCTGGCCAGTAGGGAAAAACCAGAATGCCCGTTGCCGAATCTCTAATGATTTTTCTCAAACATTTGAGTATAAGAGAAAAAGGTGGAAAAGCATAGAAGAAGTATGAGTCCCAGTTAATAGTGAAGGCATCTACCATAAAAGCCTCTGGATCCCTTTTCCAAGATATATACTTTTGACATTTAGTGTTGGTGCGAGAGGCGAAGAGGTCTATTTCCGGGTTTCCAATAGTTATTACTATTTTTTGGAATGCCCAATCTGATAACTCCCACTCCGTGTCTAAATTTAGTTTCCTTGATTCTTCATCTGCTATAGTATTCTCCTTTGTATTAATATACGACGCGAAAAGCCAAACGTTACGTTCCTCGCACCAACACCAAATTGATTTAGCCAGATCGTTTAAATGTGGGAATTGTATGCCGCCCATTCTATTAATATAACTGATAGCTGTTGTATTATCTACGCGTAACAGTATAGAACAGTGGGACATATCGCGAGCAAAGCACTTCAAGCTCATAAATATAGCTAAGAGTTCTAAATAATTAATGTGAAACAAATATTCCTCATCTGTCCAAGAGCCGTTTACACGTGCACCATTACAGAATGCTCCCCAGCCTGTTCTAGAAGCATCAGAGAAAATTTCCATTACGAAATTTTCGTCTGGTCTCAATGTGTTGGTGGATGAAATAATATTTTTTCTCCACCATTCTAATTCTGGTAACATTGATTCTGTTAATTTTATTTGTTTATCGTAACTGTTGTGAAGTTTTAACGCTAAATATTTTTGTCTTTCTAATATTTTTGTGTAGAGCCAACCATACTTGAGCGCAGGGCAAGCAGAGACTAGAACTCCAATTAATTGAGAAAATTCTCTAATGGTGCATTTTTGTAAAGAACGGAATCTATCGATTAGATTGCTTATGTTATTTCGTTTTTCTATGGGCAGTGATATAGACATATCTACTGTGTTAAATATAAAACCTAAAAACTTGCAAGTTTGTTGCGGCCTTAAGGAGCTTTTCTCGTAATTTATTACAAAACCTAAACATTTAAGTAATTTTAATGTTTTATTTATATTATCCTGGCACTCCTCCCGAGTGTTACCTATACATAAAATGTCATCAAGGTAAATAACTGATTTAAGCCTTTGCTGTCTGAGATAGATAATTATTTCTTTCATAATTTTGGTAAAAACTCTCGGGGCTACCGAAAGGCCATACGGCATGACTTTAAACTGATATGTTTGATCGAAGATAAAACGCAAATATTTCTGATGACTTTTCTGTATAGGTATCAATAGGTACGCCTCTTTGAGATCTACTGTTGCTAAAAACCCGTTTTTAGGTATTAATTTTGCTGCTGTTCGATGATCTTCCATTTTAAAGTGTTCTTTTGGAATGAATTCGTTGAGTGGTTTTAGATTTAAGATAAATCTCTTTGTTCCGTTTGGTTTCGGAGTTAAGAAAATACTAGAAGTAAAGTCATTTTTAGTTCGTTTACAAGATGTTATGGCCCCCAATTCTAGCAATTTATCGATCGCTACCCTCATATCTGAAAATTCTTTATTTGAATTTAGTATGTTACGGGGGGTGCAATTTTGGCTGATTTTCCTATTAAACGGGATTGGGTATCCATTACGTATCCATTTTAATACTACGGGATTTTTTGTAACTTTAAGCCAACAATTATAGAAATGCTGTATTCTGCCAGCATGTACCTCAATTAATGACGCGTAGGGGCACGTTGTCTCGTCTGGAATGAAGTTTTTGGTGCGTTCGAAACAGGAGCTCGGCGGTTGGTCATTACTCCCTTCTTGCCCCCCCTCGTCCTCCTCTGTTCGATGGATAACGGGGAGGGGCCACCCAGTTTCCCTGGGAGGCCGTACGACTAGATGATTGTTGTGAAGCGGGCGTTTGGGTTTTAACTATGGGACTGGATTTTTTAATCTGTAGTCCTTGTTTTTCTATTGCCTTTGAAGCTTTTATTTTTTCAGGGAGGCTGCTTCCGAAGAGCATTTCGTCTCGGTCAACGTCCTGTATGACCTTGAGGAAGGACTTTTCCAAGCCGACTGTCACGAATTTCGTCCTAGCTTGAGTTTCAACGAAGTGTAGATCGCACAAAATGCGACAACTGTCACTTATAAGTTTTATTGCCTGGAGTTTATCTTGATCATTGTCCAGGAGAATCGACAGACCTCTGTTTAGTGCGGTTAACCCTAAAGCCAGCTGATCCTGAACTGCTTCTACTCTTTTTATCCCGTCCTCTGACGGCGTCCGAGACAGCTGCAGCTATCTCTGGATTTAGCTTTGGGGCTTTAAGGAGCGTACAGTTAGCCGGGATTAAATATTGTTTCAATAATTTATCCTTTGACTCTTTGTTCAAACCTTTTTTGAGAATAGGTTGCCATAGTCGAGCTAGATTGTCGTGTATGTTTTCACCATATTTTGGTGAGTCATCCGTTGCTTCGCCTAAGGCGATTAGTATTTCGGAATCTAGTTCGGGAACTATGGTTGAATCTTGAACTGTCTCACTAGCATCTTGATTAGATGTCTCAGCTTCAGGTAGGTTTGCGGCTGTTTCTGGTGGAGTAGCAGCCGGTATTACTACCTCGCTACTGACTCGTGGCTCGTTATCTAAAAAATAACGAGAAAAATAAGTTCAGTTGTGTACAACTGAGGTAGCTTAGTGTACGTGTAATATAGCGAATATAAATATTTTTGTAATAGGCTATTACTACAATAAACTTTTTTTTTTTTTTGTGAAATCTTTAATATTATATTTTGTTTAATCATATAAGTTTGTATGACCTTTTGTGGTGACCCGCGGTCGCCCTCTAGGTGCATGATTACATATACCATCGTGTTGATCCACGATCAACCTCCCGGGAAAAGAAAAGGTAACTATTATTTCATCGTATTTAACGAAAATTAGTATGATTACTAATTAGCCCGTGTGATGACCCACGGTCAACCTCTGGGCCTTCGTAATAACGATTATTGAAATAATAATCTTGTGTAAGGTACCGTCGTGATGACCCGCAGTCAACCTCCAGGCCCATTTTACACATAGTATTGAAGTACTGCAGGTTAGCTATTAAAGTACTTCAATGTATGTACAATGTACTTAAGACTTGTACACTATAGTAATTTGAACTTTTACTAACCTGAGATTTCGTCTGAGTCTGTCGAAATTACGTTTCTCCGAATTCTCTTCCGCTTTTGTTTTTCTTCTAATTTTCTGATTTTTCGATTGTAATGTTCGATCTTCTCTTGAGCACACCTTTTCGGCATGATTATTTTTATTTTACCGAGATACTTAAGAATAGGTGCTTTCGTTGCCACGCACGAAAAAAGAAATGAACAGAAAACGAGAAATATGCAGGGATAGACAAAAGAATAAAAATAAAAATAAAAGGGGGTATATCGATAACTTTATCGATTGTACCTCTAAAAATCGTGCGAGTTGCCATGTAGGATAAAAGGACTACCTGGTTAATATAATTGTATATCTGAAGAATGAAGAACGAAATATAATATGAAATTACTATAATGCGTAGTTAATATAAGATACCTATGCACTTTTGTATTTCGAGTTACGGAACAAGCAAATGAATACGATCGAATTTAGCCCTATTCATATAACAATAAGGTTCAATTTCAACTGTGCGGAACTGTCAACGTACACCAATTTCGTAATTAGAATTTTATATAATTAATTACGAATTACAATCCGGCTCGAAGGACCAAATATTATGGTGGGAAATTGCGGAAAAATATAGCAAATAAGGTTTCACCACCATGCGGTAGGGCGCGGTCGCTGGTTCAGAAATATGATGTTAATTCGCTGACTGATTAAAACATTCAAGGCTTGTTACCTGCAATATATTGGGCTCGTACTCCTGGAGACCACCTCTAAACGGCTGTCGCACAGATCACAATGATATAAGCACAAAACACAAAAATATTGTCCAAATTCGAGATTAACTTTTAGCAGCGTGCACGGCGGTTGATTGTACAAATCAGAGAGTTTTCGAAGTGAATAGATGCACAATTGCACTCGCAGTGACGCGACAGAGGCGCCACTTTACAGGTACATACTTACCCGCTAAATTACAAATATACAAACCTTGACTGCAAATACAACAGACCAGCGAAATAACAATATATATAATTGTTAACAATAAAAATGTTATAAATGGCGTAACCACCGAGGGACGTAACGTTGCTAGCCAGGACTCAAACAAGGCCCTCGAATCAACGATAGAGGGTCTCAGGCTAGAGATAAATGATCGAGATCAAGAACTCCTCTCAAACGATGTTGAGATCGTCGGTATTCCTGAGGAAAACGGGGAAAGTGTTGATCATCTTGTGCTTACCTGCGTTAACACCATAGGGGTGGCGCTTGATGAGCGGGACATCGTCAGTTGTGCTCGATTTGGCCGTCTTTACGGTATGGTGGATGGTCAGCAACCGCGTCCGCGCCCTGTAGTTGTACGGCTGGCCCACCGGGCAACACGAGATAAAATTCTTCGAGCAGCCCGTGTACGTCGCACCATCACCACGGAAGGCATGGGGCTTCGATCGAATCCACAACGCCTTCACATAAATGAACGTCTCACGAGAACCAACCGTCGCTTATTCTACTTAGCCCGGGAGGCAGCCCGCCGTCTGGGGTGGCGGTTTACATGGACCAGGGATGGTCGAATATTCACTCGTCGAGGGCATGGTACTTCAGCTCACAGAATCCGGGTGGAAGCAGACCTTGATAAGGTTTTTGGTAGCAATACTGTTAGTTCCGATAACACCGATCAAAAATAAATTACATTGTTTTAATATGTTTAATGTTTTTTCACTGTATATTCTGAACTGTGTTTTTATAAATTGTCTTTTTGATCTATCTACTGTGGGGTATCGTCATACCGCAACGCCTGTACAATGTCAAGCAAGCACGTTTAAATTGCATAATACATTTAATAACACTGCACGTTGCAGTATATCCACTTATATTTACAACTTAATTATTTTGCATCCAATCACATACTATATATACGCACTTTTTCTTATATTCCACTCACAAATTAATTCTGCTATATGTAATAGTTATATACTAATTCACACAAAAGACTTTATTAATATAAAAATTACCGTAAACGTCAGTACGGTTCGAAGCAAACTGGACTTAAGTACGAGTGCCGGTCGCCCCGCCGCCGCAGCCAGGACAGGTAGTCGGGCGAGTACTTGTGCCACACAAATAAACAATCACATAAATAGATGCTTATCATTTTTATTGCTTTGTTACTACAACGCATGTCCATACTGTAATAGATATTCGTTATTTCTCACGCTTTATATATTTCAAATCCGACATAATTATTATAAATTAAATTCTAATATGAATATTTTAATTTTGATCAATTATTGTTATATTATTTCTTTTCAATAAAAAATGTAAAATGAAGTTAGGTTTATGGAATGCGGGTTCTCTGGGTACACACCACGACGAATTCTTAGTGGCCATGGAACGTCATGATGTTGACATCATGGCGATAAATGAAACCTGGTTGAGAGAGGGGGAGGAGGGACGTGCCCCGTCTGTACCCGGCTACCGACTGCGTCACATGCCTCGGCCGCCAGAAGTACGTACGCGCGGTGGTGGCGTGGGTTTCTACATTAAGCACGGTGTGTCGGTTAGATATGTACCCCACCCCACTTCCACGGGCGTAGAACAGATGTGGCTATCCTTATCAATAAATGGAAGAAGGCTAGTTATAGGTACGGCATACAGACCCCCTTGGCTCAATACTGATACTTTTTTAGATGGCCTAGCTGAAACGATTAGTTCAGTTACATGGTGCAGTGACATTATACTTATGGGAGATTTTAATATAAACTTACTCGATTCATCGTCTTGTGATACGAGAAAGTTGAATAGTTTTCTAACATGTTTCGGATTAACCCAACGTGTTGACAAACCCACACATTTCACGTCACACAGTGAGACGCTTATTGACCTAATATGTACAGACATGAGGGAAGTCACGGTAAATGTCAGTCACATACACGACCTAGGACACCATGCATTAATTACGTGCCAATTAAATTTTTTTAAACCTAAATTTTCCCCAATAAATAAAACCATGCGTTCGCTAGCAAATATTAATATAGACCAATTTAACAGAGACCTAAATATCATTCGTTGGGATCACATAGGAACTTTGCATGATGTCAACGACATGGTGGCTGTATTTAATCATAACTTGATTTATTTATTTGACACTCATGCTCCTTTAAAGCAGTTGTTCATCAAACTACATAAATATCCATGGATTACATATTGCATAAAAAAAATGATGAAGTGTCGAGACGAAGCATACATAAAGGCACGCAAAACGGGTAGTGAGGAACATAAGTCTACATATAAAGAACTAAAACATATGACTAATGAGGCTCTTTTTAGAGAAAAACAGGCATACTTTAATAACTATGTAAATCGCAATAATAAGAATACAAAATTGCTCTGGAAACACATAAAACAAAATGTAAAACTGTCGGGTAGTAAGGCAGAAGTACCCGTATATATTTTTAATGATCCTAACCAAATTAATTACCATTTCCTTAACATCCCAGGTAATAATGAGCCCCCCATGTCTAGTATACGTTATTTCCAAAGCAATTGTTTGTTTAATGCGGATGCTGCTTTCCATTTAAAAACTGTAGATGATAATGCCATATTGCAAATAATATGATCATTGAAATCAAAGGCTACTGGTGCGGATGGTATCAATCTTGATATGCTATTGTTAACATTGCCTAATACACTAAGTATCATAACTACTATTATAAACAAGTCTATTGAAACTAACACTTATCCTAACAAGTGGAAAGAAGCTTTAGTGAGACCAATTCCGAAAGTCACCTATCCTAGTGAAATTAAAGATCTTCGACCAATTAGCATACTTCCCCTTCTGTCAAAAATTTTAGAAAAAATTGTAGCTCAACAACTTAAATTATTTTTCGAAATTAATAATTTACTTCCCATTATGCAATCAGGCTTTCGAAAACATCATAGCACGGCTACTGCCTTGGCTCAAGTTACTGATGATATTTTAACGGCACAAGATACTGGACATGGCACACTACTTGCGCTATTGGACTGCTCCAGGGCATTTGATTCTTTAAATGTGTCTTTGCTTTTGGCAAAAATGCATTACTTCGGCTTTAATCATGCTTCCATCCAATGGTTTAAAAGCTACCTTGAAAACCGTTCACAACGTGTAGAGCTACACAAAGAAAACGGTTCAATAAATATGTCTGATCCTAAAGAGGTTAAACGAGGAGTACCACAAGGTTCTGTGTTGGGCCCTTTGTTATTTATATTATATAGTGCTGATGTTGTAGATCATATACATCATTGCAGATATCACATATATGCAGATGACATCCAAGTGTATATATCCTGCCATCCCAATGATATATTAAATGCAGTTAATAAACTTAATGATGATTTAAATCGAATTTTCCAATGGGCAGATTCTAACTCATTGATATTAAATGGAGGAAAATCAAAATTTATGATATTGGGTACACACAAACAAATATATAAAATGTCGCGGTATTATCTACAGATAAAAATCAACGGAGTTGAAATAGAGCGTGTCAAGGAGGTAAAAAATTTAGGGTTACTTTTTGATGAACAGCTACGATTCGAAACTCATGTTTTAAACACGGTAAAATACTGTTTTTATCGGTTGAAAATTTTGTACCAAATACGCAATTATTTAAACACAGATATTAGAATTAAGCTTTGCGATTCCCTTGTCCTCTCTAAATTAAATTATGCAGACACAGTATATGGTCCAAGATTGCTAGCGCGTACGCAACAGCTAGTTCAAAGGGTGCAAAATGCATGTGCAAGATTTTGTTTTAATATACCTCCTCGAACACATGTTACACCTTTTCTTATCGATGCTAATATTCTTAAAATGAACGCTAGGAGGAAGTTGCACTTTGCTACCATGCTATTCGGTATAATAAAGCATCAGACACCTTCATACCTCACTGACAAAATTATTTGGTCCCGTGACACGCGAACTAACCCGACACGCGCCTGTAGCTACCCGCTCGTAACACCTCGCCATCACGGCGCCGCCTTCCGAGGCAGTTTTAAATATACAGCAACTAAGTGTTGGAATGACTTGCCCCCCCCCTGTGCGATGCGTTAAGACATTGTACACTTTTAAAACTAAGTATAAATTGATATTATTGAGTCAGGAATTATAGTTTTAACACAAGTTGATAATAGTCAATAATATCCAATATAATTATATGTCCTATATAGTAGTAACTGCTAGACATACCTCGCATTTACACCCCCTTTATTTGTGCCTGCATACCTCTAATTATACAGTTTCTTCATTTAATATTTTGGTTACTCGTTCACTCACTATGAAATAAGCTATTGAATCATGTAATCCACACAGCATCTTCTATTTAATTATAAATACCCTTTAAACTATGTATGTAGTCTATTATATATGATATTGTATTAAATTAATTATATTATATGCACATTTGTCCGTGAATCACTTATTCGGGGTTCCACTGAAAATCAGCGTCGTGGCTTTTGTCATGGCATAATGCTGAGATGGGCCCTTTACACACACATCAGTACACAGTGACGCGGTGGCGATGCTCCGCAGTGGTGGATAGGAAATGCATTTTTTACTTTATTATTATTATTGGTTTTTTTTATTATTATTATTATTTTTTTCTTTGTATATAATGATTTCATCTCTAATTTAATGAATTGTTTTTATTTACGTTTATCTTATATAATAATTTATATGCAGCTGTCGGCATCGTTTTATTGTGTTGAGATGTGTGATGTAATAAATGTAAATAAAAAAACAATGAAATATTTTATGAAATACTTACGATTTTCGGCATAATGTGTGTAATCCAACTAAAGTAAATCACTATGCAAAACTAAATGACAATGACATTTAAACTAAAACTTCTACTTTTCTGGTTATGGTTATAGTGTGTATGGTCTTCCGCACCCCTCTAGGGAGGTGAAGGGGCCTCGGGGACTCCTTTGTCCCGGCATCTACTCCGGGGACAACAACCCCCGGGAGGCTAACTTGGGCAAGTTTACTTAAAAAAAAGAAATAAAGAAAAACTACTTAAAGCTTACTACACGTTGTGCCACACTTGGGGACAGAAGTTATTTTTTAATCCTTTTTTTTATTTAGTCCGCGCGACTCTCAGGGACTTGCTAAGTTCCTTTCCGCTGCTTCCTATTTTTCCTATCCATTTCCTCTTCCTTTCAACCTTCCCTATCGCCCCGCGTTAGCCATTTGCTATACCCCCACTCTGGGGTCGAGCCCCCATAAACATGCGGGGCGCGGGGCGACAGGAACACCAAGTAGCTTAGGAATTAGTTTGTAAATGTCATACTTGGATATAGTTTGTTTTTTAATCCCAGAGACTAAATTGACAGGTTGAAGTGTCAAATATTCAAATAATGTTACCACTTATAGCGGGGTAGTGGTGTACCTGCGATACCGATTTGTTCAATCGAAAACTTTTATTTTAAGAAATTAGTTTTAAAGCTTAATATGACGTTTCCATAACAGAATTTTATAATTTATTTTTATCGCAGCATAAAAATATGTTTTTGTCGTTTCCGTACAAATAGTAATATTACAGTATTAATCTACAAACCAAAATTTTTTTCTTACAATCAGCTAAATAATTTAAATACTTTCATAATATATGATACAATGAAAAGGTCATTTGTTTTATAAAAAAAGGCAGTTAGTCTTTATTTTAGTGAAAAATAAGAAAATTCTATTTTGATACAACAACCATATATTTATTAATACCTATACCTACTTTATTAATTTTAAATAAACACCCACACATTATTTCATTATTATAACCTACAAAAATGGGTAAATAATTTAATTTCTGATAGTGCCACATATGGGACACAGTCACCTAGATACATAAAATAATAATTGCATTTAATAATGTCTAGTAAGACAAATTCAATATTGTCTACTAGGCACTGCTGTATCTAAACTGTGTCACCCCACCTTACTTTTTCCTATTTTTATTTAGTATATAAGATCATTATTTCTATGTACATATTGTCA